CAGTTATAAAAATGATTTTATAAAAATAAAAAAAATAAATAAAAATGACTGTGTGAGGGGGAAATAAATAAAGTTTTCATAGTTTTAGTGTCAGTTGTACATGCTACGATGTAACGCTCATTTGCATTGGGTTACCAGCGCCAAGTCCAAGCCTATATTCATTTACACCCACGATGGAAGATCAAATTAAGAAACAGGAGAGTTGAGTTACACATTTATTTCTACGCTTTAGTCTGGGTTTAGTACCTGGATATCCCTTTCTGACGGTTTCCTCTTGCATCGACAGTTACTCCTGTTCGATGTGGCAAGTCCTTCGTGGTGGTATGCTGACCTCCTTAGCTATCTCATTGGTTGTTAAACTATAGCTAGATGTAGTGATAAACATTGTTTTAACATTAAGTTTCATGTTTGTCATTCTCTCTCAAGCAGTGAAAGTAGACTCAATCCATTTACTGTCATTCTGCAGCCTGGCTCTCATTAATAAGTAATAATTGTGGACTGAAGCGAGTCAACTGACCTGAACTTCACGTCACAACATTGTCACCCCGGATGTTTGGACTTTAACATTCCTTCAAGCCCGCAAAGCCGATCCTCAGACTTCAAATAGCTAACTAGATACATGACCTGTAAACTGTGTTTAGAAAGCTTCAAAACTCGGAGGGGAGTCTAATGGCTCATGGGGGTTGGGGTTCTTTATTTTCCCCCAGGCTTCCTTAGATAAACCCCTACTGTGCAATTATGTGGCCAACAGCTTCCAGACTCTCCACCCCCAAGACCACTGATATACCCAACTTGTTCTCATTACTTATTAACTTCATTAAGAAGAGGAAATTCAGCTGATCATTTAGAGATCTTTTAAAACATTTCATGTTTGCACAAGATGTAATTTTTTTTTAAAGAGATTATATTCTCAAGCATAAAATTTTCTCTCATATTTGTATTGCATTTTAGTTAGTCTAGTTAAACTGACATGCAACCCATTTTACTATTGCACAGTTTTATGTATTAATTTCCTAGCGTAATATGAGAAAAATAAAATTGAGGGTGTTTGTTTATTGGTTATTGATCGGATCGTGAATCGATTGGATGATTTAGCTGGTTTATAAGGAGAAGATTCGTGCTACGAAAAGTGCAAGAAATGTTTTAATTTTGCATTGGGAAAATTCTTGATTAAGAAAAATATTGATTTCTTGATTCAATTTCTTTGTTGACTTTAAGGAAGAATAAAGAGGCATCATTGTTTCTGTCTCTGTGAGCGTATAGCTACAATAAGACTGTAAAAGTCATTGTTCTTCGCAGTTCGCACAGGCCTTGATGGCTTATCATGGTTCATTGCTCTTGTGTTTAAAACTTTTATCCATAAACCTGGAAGCCATTCTTGCTTACTGGGGATTGTTGTACGGTGGTATTGACGTGAAGCTTTTGCTGGGGAGTGCAGTATACCTTTTAAGGACCTGATAATGCACCTCAGAGAGCACCTCAGAGAGCAAGAACAAAAAGTATGTGATGCAGAAATGGAGAGTCTGGCAGAGGAACAAACAGACCCGAGTGCAAAAACACACCTGGTAATGTTATTTCAAGAAAGAAGGCAGTTTCTAAAGTTTGGATGCCAGAAATGACTGCGGTCCAACACATATTAGCAGCACTATGACCCAGACTAGAGGAGGAGCAAGTAATAATAATAACTGGTGCATGAATCAGCAAGCACACTCACCTTTATTCCATATGATTCCCTTAAAGGGACTGCTGACTAATTTTCCAATCACTGTCATCAGTGAACACATCACGTATAACCAGCAATGAGACCTTTGGCAATCACTGTGTGCTTAACTGCACGTTGGACTTGCTTTGGCCTTCATCTTTCTGCTGAGTGACCAAGTTCAGTCTATCGGAATTCCTCCTTTATTCAGAACGAAGGAGAGCAGAAAATCAATAGGCCTAATGGCGTAAGTGGTGTACCAGTCCAGGCCACTGTGCCGAGGATGTGTAATGCAATGCCGTGATGTGCAGTTATTTTATGTGTTAAACATAACTGGGAGTTTTCGCAGGAAAATTTTCACATTTGTCTAATCTTTTTGGCTAATTGCATATTACTCATCAGGAAACTGCATCGTTAAACTGCTTCATGGCATAAATTGCTTCCCTGTTGGTGTGGGAGACGTTTCACTGCAAGACATTTTTCAAGCCGAGTCTATTGTTAAAACCAAATCAAACCTGATGTTAGGATAGATCAAGGCAATATTAGTGACTGGTTGATACTAGCTGTGCTAAGCTCACAATAAAGGAATCTACTTAGAAGCTCTTAAAGGCATAGTTCACCCTAAAATGAAAATTAAAGGCACAATATGTAGTTTTTTTTCACTACAAAAGGGCGCAGTTTCCAACAATAACAAAGGCGTAGGTTTATGACGCAGTGATGAGCTGAATTATGGGACTTGCTGTCAAGCTGATGGATCTAATAATGTTTATGGATGACTGCAAACATTCATGTTTTTTAACATTACAGTGATATGAAGCAGGTCGCTATTGCTAAAGAGACAGATATCACACGCAAGTCCTGCGTATATACGGACATTTAATTCTACCGGAATACCCGCAACTAAACTTGAACTAACGAATTAAACTTGTGAGATAACGCAGCGCTGCTTCACTTGGTCTAATGTTACACTATCACACTAAACGGCATTTAAATGTGTGTTGAAAGTTATGTTGTTTTACTATGTGTTAGTTTGTTTGGAATACGAAACTAGCAGTAAGCTAGATCAACATTAGAATAACATACTGAACATTTCATTATGTTGAGCTAACATTATATACCATTGATTTGTTATATGTACATTAGCTCACCTGTCTAATAAAACGGTCAAGTCGTGACTCGTGAAGCTCAGTGAAGTCCAAGTTAGTCACGGACGTGGAGTTCTCGGCATCTCAAAAACGCCACGCTGATTTTGATCCTCATTTAGTTCCCCTTGTTTTTCCCAAAGTCTGCTTGCCATGTTCTATGATTGAAAGAAACCAGAACTGCGTGCTGCTAAACATTACGCACTACGCAGTTGTCCTCGTCTGTCGCCATGGTTATGTCATGGCTATGGCAGTATGAATGGAAACCAAGGATAGCACGGATATTGCGTCATTGACAGGCGGCATTTTTTTCTGGGACGGCCACTTATATAAAATTGGAATTTCTCTGAAATAAAAAAATCTTTTGGGATATTGCAAGCACACAACTGCAGGAAATATATCACACTGTGCAAGTGATTTTTGGATATTTTATTCTAAAATTCTTATGTATTGTACCTTTAAGTAATCTTTTACTCACCCTTATGTTGTTAATACCATAAAAGGAGAATTGTGAGGCGGAGTGAAGCTTTTGTTTCTTTTTCTTAAAAAGCTTTATATTGGTTGCTATTCAATGCCATAATATGGATGAATGAGAGTAATTTTAATTCTCCTTTTATGGTCCATAAAAGAAAGAAGGCCTTACAGCATTAGAACAATACCAGGGTGAGTAAATTATGACTTTAAATTCAGTTTCCTTTCAAGTAAAGCTTACAAATCAATAAATGTAATTGCATTAAATCTAAAATATAAAGCAGCACTTAGATTTTGAGATGAATTGGAGTGAAACATACTTCCACTAAAAATCAATAGGGTTCAGTTGGTTAAAACAAAAAATCACAAACATCTCTTTTCTGTGTGGACTTCTTCATTAGCAAATGACATTGATCCAAGATCCAATCAGTTCCCGTTGGACAAAGTCTTTTTGGGGCCACTTTATGGACAACGTATTCAATTTCCTTTGAAAATTTTGGTCACAATTACAACATCAATCCCATTTCCAGTGTATAATAATCATTTTAATATGAGAGATTAACATGTTGCCATTTAATACGATTTTTTTTTCATCTTAATTGGTGTCCAACTTGTTTTAAAAATTGAAAAGAGTTGCTCTGAGAACTGATGAAATAAGGAACATGTTGGCTCTTTTTTTTTTTTTTTAATTCAAAGTCACATGGAAGCACTGTACAGATGACCGTGGTCTATAATCTCTTGGATTGACACATGATGTAATGCTTTGTGTTCCTGCGGTTGGTCTGATCCCCCTGAAGTACTTAAAGTGTGCCTATTAGCGTATTGACTTGCTGACTAGTACACCGGAATCCTCCACTACAGTCTCTATTTATAGACATGGACGACTTTACTATCAATTCAGGGTGCTTATGTGCTTTTGTGCAGTAGACAATAAAAGGTGTTGAACCTCAAAACCATCAGGGTTTACTTTCGGAAGATAAACTGACATAATCCACCTCATAAAGGCATACAGATGCGCTTCTTAAGTATTGTGGGAACTGGTACTAGTTCTTCAGAAGGTCAATTATGAATAAAATTATGAATTAAAAAATTATGATTAAAAAAAGTTTTAAATTATGAATAAAAAAGCTTTAATATCTGTAGCCCTATCTCTAAGCCATTGTGTTTTTGCAGGGTTCTTACTCATGCCCAGATAAAAAAGCTTGTTAAACAGCGCAGCCTTGTGGTAGATTTGGAAGGTCCATTCGAACAGCCATTTGAGACGATGTTAAATTAGCCCTGCTTATATTTCGATATTTCTTTTGAAATTTGATTTATTGACAATATAAATAATATATGTGATAAAAAGGGCTTCAGTTGGCCTCAAATGCGACAAAACAATAAAAAAGTAAATTTGAATCGAGTAGCCATTGACTTTTTTTTCTTTTTTTTTTTTTTCAGAACCAAGTTCACAAGTGAATCCCTCACTGAACCACGATTAATTTTTTATTACGTTCGATTTTGGACAATGAACAGTTAGTGTGGAGTAAATGTTACGTCTATCAGACCTATTATAGTAGCCTATTATTTATTGTGCGATTTTGTAATCTGGGATCTAGAAAAGTCATTTTATTTATGTTGTGGAGTCCTGTGAAATTGTAGATTGTGAATTAAACAAAACCTATTTTGTATTTTTCTTGACATTATAGGTGAGCTGTTAAGTCAGCCCCGGCCTGAGGGACTTACTGAGATCATCTGCCCCAAGAACGGCTCGGAGCGGGTCAACGTGGCACTAGTTTACCCTCCAACCCCGACTGTGGTCAGCCCCAGTCATAAATGACGCTGACTTCACCTGCACTTACCTGCCAGTGAATGGCTTCCACAGACCGCTGCACCTCTTTCCCCAACATCTTACATGCACACGTGTACACACACAGAAGTATATGTGTTTGTGTGTGCTAAAGCGTACAACCACTTTCCTGTTGCCTCTACCTTTTCATTCCTCATCCGAGGGAGATGATGGACCACTGGATACCCGACAAGTACAAAGAAGGTTTATAATGGAAGCTTGTCATGGGGAGATCATCATATCAGGACATAATTACAGGTATAATATTTTCAAGCTTTATATAAAATGATGGATCATGTTTTAGATCTTTTTTTTTTTTCCTCATTGTAGTCATGTTCTCTTCTTTTTCAGGTGTTCAGCTCTGACTGCCAACACACGATGAACTGAAAGTATTAGAAACTTTTGCACTGACATCCTGTTTTTGTCTATGTACACCTAAAGCATTTTCAATCACCCTGAGCCTTCTTTGACGCTTTGAGCTTTTCAGTTCAATCCGAGATGAGCCGTTCCTCTGCAAGTTCTTGGACATTCCCAGTTGTTGCATCTCTTGGACTGAACCCACATCTTGTGCTGCTGCAGGTGGTTCAGCTGACAGAATATGGAAGAGAATGGACTTGGTTCTCCTCAGACACTAGACAGACATTAATTAGTGAGGTTAGATTGACGCTTTAAGTGATATTGTACTTTAAATGCATGCATTTGAAATACTAAAAGGATTATAAAATAACATATGCACTAGCGCAAGCCTCTTGAGAGCTTTGGTCGTATTGAACATGAGAGACAGAATTGTTGTGAAATAATTCTTCAGGATCTATTTATTGGTTTTCTGCTCAATACACATTGCTTATTTTGTGTGGAGAAGATGAGACCGTTCAAAGGTTTTTAGTGATGCGTGCAGCCAAAGATGTAAAAATGTTTCCCTGAACCACTGACACAAAAGAATCCATCCAATCAATCCATCCATCCATCCACACTTCAGTGCATATGCAGCTAAGCATACTCCATAGCATGAGGATATTATTTTCAAGCATATAATAAGCAAGTATCAGCCATCTGGAAGATTTTCATGATTGTCTCTTTGTTTCTTGCATGTTCAAACTTAGCTATAAGATCCAGTTTTGGATACATATGGTTTGAAATACTGATGTACAGTCACAGAGGTACAGAAATGGTACAAGTACAATAATTCAGCCAAGGATGTATTTTCACGCTTGAAGAATATTGTGAAAGCATATCTGCTTACCTGTAAGGTTATTTGATATATATTTAATTCACAGATTGTAAAAGCAGTGTCAAACTGTACATATTTATCTAATAAGTGCACATTACCTAGAACAAATAAGCAAGCCGTTTTTATAAGAATTGATTCTTCTTTAGAAACTACTGTGTATTGTTTCATTTTTTTAGGAGAGAATCTGCAATACGTGTAATGTTTTGTGAACAGTTGATAAAATTTTGTACATAATATTTTATTTTTGTAAGCTAATAAGCTGTCACCAGTAGGCCTATCTCACTTTATTTACTGTGCATTGTGCATGGCTACTGTGCTCAATGTAAAAGCCACAAACTGTTTTCTAAATTATAAAAAATGTATTCTTTCTCATTGTAGGACCACAAAAAAACACCAAATATAAAGGCTGGTTCCACATAGCCTACAGGATTTCCTGTGTTTTCTTGTTATTATTGCATGATGAAAACATACCGAGGAAACAACACTGTCCAATAATGATACTAACGTTTTCAAATAATGTGAAAAATATTTCTGTTTATTTGTGTTCCGTGGAAAATCTCATTCGACGAATCTGTTGCATCTGCTGGAAAGTCAGGTAAAATTGCTTCCGTGAACGCGCATTCCCCAGTTAACACGATTTACATTTTACAGCTACAAGAGGGTGAAGATGATACTTAAAACAACGTATTCTTGGTACATACACCGATACTGGATATATTCTGGCCGAGGGATGATCTACCGGTGTGAAATTACATAATATCAGCTAAAAAAAAAAACAATATGCCGTCCAACAAAGAGCTGAGAGAGAGCCAATGTTGTTGTTTTTTTTACCATATCGCTTCAAAATTAAACGGACAACACGGTCTTCCCTGACTGAATTAAGACTATCTATATACCTTTTGTTTGACAGACATTCACCTGATTGCCTGATGACACCTGGACAATCCCTTAAATAAAGTATGTAAAACAGTAAACCAAACAGTGCGAAGATGATGCAGGCCAGGAATGGTCAACTTGGGTCTTTGAGGCCACTGTCCTGAAGAGGTTTTTTCTGTTCTACATCAACCACTTGAACAAATGTGTTGAATAAATCAATGCAATTAACATGTTGAATTTAAAAGTCAAGCAAATGTTTAGGCCTTCATTTATTAGCATGCTATGAAAACAGTTCAGTCTTTTGCTGTAATATTTACAAAAAAAGCACAAGTAAATGAGAAAATTAAGACCAGTTACAAAATACTGCACTTCACTCAGCAACATGATTACAGTGATGAATTATGAATGTGTCTTAGAACTCATGACAGGAAAAAGAAAGTGAAAATCTCTGGAGAGCTCTATTTTTGGTGGCCAATCTGGACAAGAAGCCATTTATTTTCACTGAGTCAAGGTAACTCTGATTTTATAATGGAACTAGACTGTTTATTCCAACAGAAAAAAGTGAACTCCAAAGGATTTTGTCCATATAGCCAAATAAATACACTTAACAACCAAGAAGACAAATAGGGCCAGAAATAATGAGCTGCAGAAGATGAGATGATGATGGTGTGAGATCTTCAGTCGTTGTCATAGATGCAGTCTGTAATGATTGATAAGTCTCTTTAATTGATATTGTCTAAATCACATTTGCTATGGAATAACTGTATTTTAATATTTGCATGTAATGTTCAGGTGCATGTATTTACTACATACCATCTCCAATATCATCATAGACCTCTTCACTATAAACAAAATGTAAAACTTTAGTTCATACATCAATAAAACATTTGCAAAAAAAAAACTTTGACAAAAAGTAACTTACTCTTGTTGGATGTTGCTCACTGAGACATATCCAACTGAAAGTCAATTTTACAATTTCATCATTATACTGCCATTGCTTGTCTTATAGATTAATCTCATCTGGAGTCACAATTAATGTCACTTACATTTGCCCTCCTTGTTCCTACAGATGAATTTGTCAGGGTCAGATTGGCTGATGACGTCCACCGTCTCCCCAGCCTGTACAGCCAGCTCTTTCCCACTGCCCTTTTTACTGGTGGCAATTGTTGCTTGATGAAGTACCTGAATCTCACCATCGTACTGGTAAATACCAAATTGTTTGCTTAATTAATTCAATGAAGAAAGCACTCTTATGTGAACTTAGCATTGTGTCATACAGTATGCCCAAAGTTATCTCATACGCACCTTAAACTTCTTTCTGAATTCCTTTTCTTCTTTCTCAAACTTCTTTTGTTTTTTTGGGTCCTCATGAACTTTGGTCACCTTAGATTTCCTTTGAGGAAGGCTGCAAAATATCATTATCATCAAGACACAAATTTAAATATGCTAATATATATATATAATATGTGGCATCATGTTGTTTTACAACATTAATAGCAAAGCACTTAAAGGAGTAGTTCACTTTTAAAAAAAACCTTTTGCTGATAATTAACTCACCCCCATGTCATCCAAGATGTCCATGTCTTTCTTTCTTCAGTGGAAAAGAAATTAAGGTTTTTGATGAAAACATTCCAGGATTCCATACTGTAATGGACTTTACTGGTAACTAAACGGTTCAAGGTCCAGAAGACAGTTTCAGTGCAAACTGCAAACTGTTCAAAGGGCTTTAAATGATTCTAGACGATGAATAAGGGTCTTATCAAGGGAAACAATCGCTCATTTAAAAAAAAAAAAAAAAAAAATTTAAGTTTTATAAGCTCAAATGGTCGCCTTGCTCTGTTTTGATGCGAGCCTGTGACTCTCCTGTTCGAACTCATTAATCAAAATGAACGAACCTTTTCCCGAGTCAATTCGTTCATTTCGTTCGTTGAATGAACCAAATGAGATGAAAAAAGATTAAATGAGCGATGGTTTCACTTGATAAGACCTTTATTTATTGTCTGGAATCGTTTAAAGCATTTTCAACAGTTTGCAACATGCAGTCTGTACTGAAACTGGCTTTTGGACCTTGAACCGTTTGGTGCCCAGTAAAGTGCATTATATGGAGAAAAATCCTGGAATGTTTTCATCAAAAACCTTATTTTCTTTTCGACTGAAGAAAGAATGATATGGATATCTTGGATGACATGTGGTGAGTAAATTATCAGCAAAAGTTTTTTTTTTTTTAAAAAGTGAACGACTCCTTTAAAGGGTTAGTTCACCCAAAAATGAAAATTAAGTCATTAATTAGTCACCCCCATGCTGTACCAACCCCGTAAGACCTTCGTTCGTCTTCGGAACACAAATGAAGATATTTTTGATTAAATTTGAGAGCTGTATAACTACCACATTGGCTGCCTAAGGGACTGGCTCTTGACGGCCCAGAAAGTCAATGAAGAAAATGTTTAAATATCCCAAGTGACTACCGTGGCTCAACTATATGTTTATCAAGCGACGCGAATACTTTTTGTGCGAAAAAACAAACAAAAATAACGAGTTTATTCGACTATTTCTTTTCTTCCTTGTAGGCCAGAACGAGACTTCCTTAGATTTCCACGACGCATGCGCGAGAATTGCGATCTGAAGTAGTGTAAGCTAGTGTAAGCAGATCGCAATTCTCGCGCATGCGTCGTGGAAATCTAAGGAAGTCTCGTTCTGGCCTACAAGGAAGAAAAGAAATAGTCGAATAAACTCGTTATTTTTGTTTGTTTTTTCGCACAAAAAGTATTCGCGTTGCTTGATAAACATATAGTTGAGCCACGGTAGTCACGTGGGATATTTAAACATTTTCTTCATTGACTTTTTGGGCCGTCAAGAGGCAGTCCCTTAGGAGCCAATGTGGTAGTTATACAGCTCTCAAATTTAATCAAAAATATCTTCATTTGTGTTCCGAAGACGAACGAAGGTCTTACGGGGTTGGTACAGCATGGGGGTGAGTAATTAATGACTTAATTTTCATTTTTGGGTGAACTAACCCTTTAAGGTAACATCTGTTTACCTGCTAGGTGATGGAGCGGAAGGGAATGAATCAACATCATCGTATATGTCTTGGGAAATGTCTGTGATGTAAAGACATTTGAAGATGAAACATAGAGTTGCTTTGAAAGTTACAGTTACTTTAAGTGTTAAATAGGACTAAAATAATTTTTACCTTTATTTCCTTCAGGTGTAAATTGTGGAGGTGGAGGAATGCTGAAAAAGAAGCATATAACTATGATAATTTTATGGGCAGAAGCCAATTAACAGACTTAATTTGGAGTTAATATTGTTTTCTGTAGATAAAAGCAAAATCGAGGGAGGTTGAAGTCTTGGGGAAAGAAGATTAGTGAATCATTCATATCCAGAAATGTTATGGTTCGAAAAGATTAGAAAAGCATTAAAAACAGGAGGTTTAGAAGACATTAACTTGGCACTATTTGATGTTTATGCTCAGATTGGATTGATTGTGAAAGGAAAAAATAATCAATTTACAATTGCAATATGCAATTGTGATTGGTAAGGATTGAAAATGTAGAAAAGTAACATTGACTGATTCCAGCTTACTAATGTAAAAATTACTCATTATTGTGAACTTGGCTTTTTCTCCGTTCAACCGAACTTTTGAGCATGTCCAAGAAGTTGCGTGATTTACAGAGTGGCCTGGGATCTCCACTGCTATGGTTTCAGTGGAATGCAGTGTGGGAATACAGGCACACACATAAACAAAGTATGGAAATCTTATATTATTAAAATACATTATTATAATATTACTTTACATTATAAATATATATGTGTATTTTGCTCTTACCTGATTGGATTAGGATTGGGATCAGGTATATCATCATACACATCATCATCTGGCGGTGGAGGTAAAACAACTATACACAGCAGAGGGCAGACTTGTTTAAGTCATCTGTTATTACAGTTACACTTTTAAACTTAGACCTTACAGTCAATTAGTCAGAAAAAAGATTGATTATATTAAAACTTACCCCGCTGCCCATTCATTTTCCTGAAATATGAAAGAGATATCAATTCTCACATTAATGAGAAGAGAACAGCAGTATTTGCTGTGCAGGTTTTAACTAAAGGAGTTGTTCACTTTAAAAAAAAAACAACTTTTGCTGATAATTTACTCACCCCCATGTCATCCAAGATATCCATGTCATTCTTTCTTCAGTCGAAAAGAAATTAAGGTTTTTGATGAAAACATTTCAGGATTTTTCTCCATATAATGGGCTTTACTGGTAACCAAACGGTTCAAGGTCCAAAAGACAGTTTCAGTGCAAATTGCAAACTGTTCAAAGGTTTTTTCTAACGATTTCAGGCGATGAATAAGGGTCTTATCAAGCAAGAAACGATCGCTCATTTAAAAGCTCAAGTTTAAGTTTTATAAGCTCAAATGGTCGCCTTGCTCTGTTCTGTGATGCGCGTTTGTGACTCTCCTATTCAGACTCGTTCATCAAAATGAACTAATCTTTTCCAGAGTAAACTCCTTCATTTGGTTCGTTGAATGAAAATTCAATGAACCAAAT